TTAAAATTCCCGAATTTTTTCTCCGGGAATGAAACCCTAATATAACGAATCACGATCATTCCCTTAGCTAAAATAGTAAAAAAATTACCTGACACTTACTTCGTAATATATGGGAATATTGCCTCACAAAATTACCGATAAATGTAACGGATTACCAGTCACTTCGTTCCTTGCAACGAATTACTTACAAGTCTGCGATGTGGCAGCTTCAGGGGGGGGGGGGGGCATTCAGGAAGAAACGTGGCGGTTTCTCCGCTTATATGATGGATTGAAACTGACCGCTGGAGCAGTTCTTTTTTCAACCTCAACGGCATGCAAAATTTGTTCTTTTGCTTTTTTGTTGTGGGAGAAACAGCAACAAAGAAAACAACAAGAGGCAAGTGTTGGGATCCTCTTTTCTGCCTGCTCGTCAGGATCTAAAATTCCGGCGTGCTGGCACTTTAAATATCTTTTGTCACGTAGGTAGTAGTAGTAGTAGTAGTAGTAAACTTTATTTTGTCCAAGATGGGGTTTAGAGAGGAGGGGAGTGGGAGTGCCCGTCCTCTTCTTCCTCAGGCGGCGGCCAGGCCTTGGGCTTTGGCGGCGTCTTCGGCCATCTGGACGACCCGAAGTTGGAGATCCGGGTCTGAGCTAAGCAGTGCAGTCTCCCACTGCTCTAAGGTGGTAATCGGAAGAGGAGGTAATGAGCTGGTGCGCTTTTGGGTGCTTATCAGGGGACACGCCCACATGATGTGGTGAAGATCGGCCCTACCTGCGCATAATTTACAATCTGCTGTATATAGCCCTGGATACAGATGACTATATGTCACTGGGTTTGGGAATGTGTGCGTTTGTAAAAGGCGCCAAGTAACTGATTGCTTTTAGAGCGCAGCTCTTAGGGGCCCGTTCCCGGCTTGAGCGGCGTCGCCGTTGGCGTCGCCGTCGGCGTCGGCGTAACCAAGGTCACCCCAAGGTCACGCGACCCCCAAGGTCATCCCAAGGTCACGTGGCCCCCAAGGTCACCCCAAGGTCACGTGACCCCCAGAGGTCACGTGACCCCTCCCCCAGGGTCACGTGACCCCCAAGGTCACGTGACACCCAAAGTCACGTGACCCCCCGAGGTCACGTGACCCCCTCGCCGAGGTCACGTGACCTCCCCGATGACGTCATCGTCACTGATGACGTCACCGGCATCCACATCGTCATCGTCATCATCACTGATGACGTCATCAGTGACGTCACTGATGACCTCACCGGCATCCGCATCGTCATCGTCATCATCACTGATGACGTCATCAGTTACGTCACTGATGACGTCACCGGCATCCGCATCGTCATCGTCATCATCGCGGATTACGTCATCAGTGACGCCACTGATGACGTCATCGACATCCGCATCGTCATCGTCATCATCGCTGACGACGTCATCGGAGTCCGCATCGTCATCGTCACTAATGACGTCATCAGTGACGTCACTGATGACCTCACCGGCATCCGCATCGTCATCGTCATCATCAATGATGACGTCATCAGTGACGTCACTGATGACGTCACCGGCATTCGCATCGTCATCGTCATCATCACGGATGACGTCATCAGTGACGTCACTGATGACATCATCGGCATCGTCACGTGACCCCCAAGGTCACGTGACCCCCCCCCCCCCCAGGTAACTTCACCCCCAGTACCCTTCCCTCCTCCTCCTCAAGAGCTGCGCTCTAATTCGGTGTTACAGGGAGTTGTAAACGGCTTTCACTTTTTATCTAAATTTTTGTGAGCGGCGGGGTAATGCCCCCTGCCCTGTCTGTAGTATTGCAGGACCTCCTTATAGGACACTATCCGGTCCCTACCTGAACGACGAAGGGATTCGAGCTGCTCATCGCGAAAGGTTGTCTTGCGGCCGCGGATGGTTAATTCTCGGGCCGCATTGTGAGCAGCTTCGTTTCCCGGGAGACCGGAGTGCGCCGGTGTCCAAACGAGTTGTGTCCACCTGCGCCGGGTTTCGGGTGCCTGGACTAAAATTTTGAGGGCTTCGGGCGAAATGCGCCCTTTCGCGAAGTTTCGTATAGCTGACTTTGAGTCGCTGACTATGAATTTGGCTGAGGATGAAGGGTATGCCAAGGCGATTGCGACTTCCTCCCCGACCTCCGGCGAGGTTGTAATGACTGAGCTTGCAGCGATGGTTTGATTTTGTTGATCAAGTACAGCCACTACCATGGCGTCTCGATCACGATACTCGGCCGCGTTTACATAGGCCACGTCTTTAGAATTTGCAAAGCGCTTTTGTAAGGCTCTGGCTCTTTCCTTTCTGCGTTCTTGGTTGTACAGAGGGTGGGTGTTTTTAGGTAATGGTGGGACGTGTATGTCTTTTCTGAGCTCTATGGGAATGTCCAGCTTTGGTCCGAATTGGGTGCTGTATGTAATCCCGAGTGATTGGAGAATATGTTGCCCCGTCGGGGACTGTGAGAGTCTCTCCAGCTGGGCAATTCTTTGGGCTTCTATGAGCTCGTCAAGAGTATTGTGTATTCCTAGAGCCTCAAACTTTTCGTTCGCGGTCGTAATTGGGAGGTGTAGAGCCTGCTTATAGGCTCTCTTGATCATGAGGTTAATTTTGGAACGTTCATCATTCTTTAGTTGCAGGAATGGAATAGCGTAGACTATTCTGCTTATAACGAAAGCCTGTACCAGTCTGAGTAGATTAGCTTCTTTCATGCCGTGATGTCTGTTGGCGATGCGCGAAACGAGTCTTGTCGTTTGGTGCACGTTTGAGTCCAGCGCCTTTATCGCTTCATTGTTGTGTCCATTGGTCTGTATTCTAAGTCCAAGGATCCTGATGTTCGATACTATTGGAATGTCCAATCCGTTAGATCTGAGCGTGATTTGAGGGGGTATGGAGGAAGTTTTTCTACCTCTGCACGTAGGTGTATACAGTAATAACTCTGACTTTTGTGGGGAACAGGAGAGTCCTTTAGGTGTTACGTATTCGTTGACTTCATCGATCGCGGTTTGTAAAGTTTCCTGTATTTCTCCGTCACTTCCTCCGGTTACCCAGAGTGTCACGTCGTCTGCATATAAGCTATGATGTAGTTTGGGGATTTTGTCTAGCTTGCTTGGCAATCCTAGCATGGCCATATTAAAGAGGTAAGGAGATAGGACCGACCCCTGGGGTGTCCCTCTATTCCCGAGCGAAATGCTCTCCGAGGTTATCCCACCGACGGTAATGGTAGCTGTCCTGTCTGTAAAAAAGTCTTTTATATAATTGTAAGCTCTGAAGCCAATTCCTAGTTTGTTTAGCTGGGTTAGGATGGTTTCGTGGTGAACATTATCAAAGGCTTTGGTTAGATCAAGGCCAAGAATGGCTCGGGTATCGAGTTCTGAGGTGTGATCACCGTCTATTATCTGGTGTTTAATTTGAAGCATAATGTCCTGCGTGGACAATTTGGGCCTGAATCCAATCATCGTGTGAGGGTACAGGTCGTGGTCTTCCATGTGTTTGTTTAAGCGAGTAAGGATGATGTGTTCCAGGAGTTTGCCTAGGCAGGAGGTGAGCGAGATGGGTCTTAGGTTCTCTAGCTGCAACCTCTTGCCTGGCTTTGGTATCATTACAATTTTAGCTTCCTTCCACTGTTCGGGAATATGGCCAGTTTCCCAGCATTTGTTGAAATACTTAGTGCTTCTATGGAATCATCGTCCAGGTTTCTTATGGTTTTGTTTGTTACTCGGTCTAGACCAGGAGCGGAGTGCGTTCGTAGACCATGCATGGCCTCGCGTACTTCTGCTGCCGTAATAGGCTCGTCCATTATTTGGTTTGGGTCTCCCGTGTATGAGGGCAAGGGCATTTTGGTATGGTTTCCGAGGTATCGATTTTTGAGTTCATTGATTAGGTCTTTGTCTGATCCCGGGTAAGTATGGATTATTTTGCTGAGGTTGTGCCTCTGCGTAGTCTTACTGTTCTCGGGATCGAGTAGGCATCTTAGTATGCGCCATGTTTTGGCCATGCCTATTTGCGCTTCCATGCCATCACACGCACTATGCCAGTTTTGGCGTGTTAGTTGGTCCGCATAGTCTTGAATTTGTTTGTTTAAGATCGTTAGGCGTTTGCGCAGGGATCTATTCAGTTTGTGTTGGTTTAGTCGTCTTTGTAAGCTAGCTGTTGCTTCCCACATGTGAAGTAGCTTGGCATCTGCCGCCTGGATATTAGCTTCTTCTGGTATGGTTTTGGTCGCCAGCATAACATTTTGTTGTAAGGTGTCGACCCATGCCTTTATGTCTATTATCTCAGAAACGCTAGGTTCGTTCTTGTTTCTTTGTGATTGCCTAAAAGCGTCCCAGTCCGTGAGGTGGATTCGTCTGCCTTTAGGTTTGGCGGGACCCGTTTGGATTCTAGTGGCCACTATGAAGTGGTCACTTCCTAAGTTTTCTTGCGTGTTGAACCATGTGGCACCTGACACGTTTTTTGTGAAGGTTAAGTCTGGTGTAGTGTCTACGCTGATGCAGTTTCCCATGCGAGTGGGATGTGTCGGGTCTGTAAGCAACGTTAGTTGCTCCTGCTGTGCGTCTAGCCATAATAGGCGGCCCTTGCGGTGATCGGTGGAATAACCCCATGCAGAGTAGTGCGCATTGAAATCTCCTACTATGATTAGGGGCTGTTTGTTTGCTACTTGTATTGCTTTCCTGAATAGACTGAGAAATCGGTGTTGCTGTTTAGGGTTGCTGTATATGTTGAGCACAAACAGACTGCCAGTTCTTCGCTTTGCTGTAGGAATAATTTCCACTAGGACGTGTTCTATCGACGCAATGCCGGTCTCGTGCAGGAGCGCCGGTATATTTCGTTTGATTAACGTAGAGATTGTCGCGTTGCCTGTGCCCGATACATCCGGACAGAAGGACGTATAGCCTGGAGTGCAATTATGTCTGGCATTTCGGAATTTTTATTTTGTAGGAACTGCTGGAGATTTCCCCTCTTACGGCGGAATCCGCGGCAGTTCCATTGCCATATGATGTGCGTAGTGTTTTTACCGCTAATCCTGGCCATCATTAGTCGGGCGACTGTAAGGCTTAGTTACTTTAATGGGCCCTACGCTGGGCCTCTGTTGCGCGTTTTCTAGGGCCGTAATTCTGGCATTACAATTCTCGGCAAATTGTGTGATCATGGTGTGGAAGTTTTTATGAATTACTTCGAATTTGAGATCAATGACCCTGGTGATTTTGTCTATGATCATGTCTTCCCTGATATTACGCTTAAAGTTGCCGGCGCGGGCGGTTGTCCCCTGGGAATGAGGGGATTGTTCTACCGCTCTGCGTTTTGCGGGTAGGTGTTCGATATCGGAATCTGATTCCGCATCTTGTGCTGTAGGTTCTACAACTACCGGGGGTGCATCTATTTCTATAGGGGTCGTTTCTGGATCGGCGGGTGCAGCCGTTTCAGGCGGTGTTGCCTTGAGTTGAGCGATCTCGGCCTTCAGGGCCTTATTCTCTGCTAGTAGTGTTTCGAGCATTTTTTTGATTTTAGTAAGCTCACTGTTGTGAGATGAGGGGAGGGTGGGGTTTTCTGTCATAGTGGGTTTAGGCTGGGAGACTGCACTTGCCCAGCTCATCTTGTTGTTGTTTGAGGTCTTGCTTTCTTGTTTCGCTTGGGGTCTATGTTCCGATGGAAATCTGGTTTGAGATGCCTTGCGGCTTTTGGCCGTGTTCCTTGATTTGGATCGGGAGGGGCGTTGGGTCTCCGCTGCTTTTTTGCCGTCTTGACTTGATAGCAATGGGTCTCTGTCTCCGTCGCTCCGGGTGTGTAGTGCTTGCTGCTGTTGTCGCCGTTTTTCCCACTGGCGCTGTTTGATGAGGAAAGGCGTCTGAAAGCGTTTCCGGCAGCGCTTGTCTCCCGTGGGGTGGTCTTTGCCACATAGCGCACAGCTGGGGTTACAGTTGTGATTGCCCGTGGGGTTTTGGGCACCACATTCTATGCATTGTTGCTTGTCAGGGGTCGGGCATACGTCCGCGCGATGACCGATGCGGCCGCAGGCGCCGCACACTTCGACTTTTTTCTTGTGGAGGTAGCAGCGGTACTCCGCGCCCCTGTAGTAGACGTAGAATGGTACCTTTGGGCCTTCAAAGATGATGATGACTGAGTTGGTGTTTCCCATACGACGGACCTGCAGGATGGGGGGGTTCTTCTTGTAGATAAGGCTTTTGGTGATGTCTTCCGCAGTGTCGTAATCCGGAATATTGTGGATTACGCCTTTGGAGGTGTCTGCTGGTGGGGTTGCGTAGGCTGTGGCTTCGTAGTGCGTGTCTCCGAATTGGAGTTCTTTGATTCGATGGTATTTCTCAGCGTTTGCCAAACTTGGAGTGCTGATTACTATGATATTTTGTCCCATGCAGGAGCGATATATGTCGTCTTCCGCCTCAGCGATTGTTACTGTTGCGGCACGCAGTACTCCATCTCGAATTAGCGCGTCGCTTAGTTTTGAAATATTAAGCCCGCCGCGGGGACGTACGATGATCTTTATATCTTCCCTTGGCAGTTGCGGTTGTCGCGGCACCTGTGGTTTCTTGGTGGAATATCTGGTACGGACTGCGCCGGCTACAGCTATTTTGCTTGTTTTTTCTGCTGTTAGGCCAAGCTGCGCGAGGGTTCTACGATTCCTGTTGCGGTAGCTGTCAAGCCATCCCGCTTCTTTGGTTACTTGTTCTGGTGTAATATCTGTACCTTCTACTTCAACTACTTCCATTCCATGAAAGGAGCTTACCCGGTGTATCTGTGGGGTGGTTGAGCCACCCTGGGTGCTGCCTTGTGGCTCCTCGGCGACCGGCATCGGGCAGCTGCGGCGCGTCGATGTGACGGCGCCGGAGTCTTGGTTGCTCACGGATCCCATGCGGGGCACGTCCGCTTCGGCACCGTCATCAGTGCCTTCGGTGCAATCACGCTGGAGTTTTTGATCTAAAAAGACGGAGCTCGCCACAGCCGTGGCATCCTTAGCTCGTCCTCTTCTTCCTCACGTAGGAGATTCCCTGTTTTTGTTATTTTTCCTCGCCCATTTCAATCTCGCTATTTTACATCCCTTTCGCATGGTAAGCGTTTAAGCGGCTTATAGCCCTTCCGAGTTCTGCAATACTGTACTTCAAACATAAAAGGAAAGAATTTAGTCGCACGGGCAGGAAAGGGGCACCGAAGGGGCTGTTGTCTTTCGCTTGCTTCGACACTTCGACAGTACTTGGGCTCCATCTTTCTTTTCTTCGTGGATCGCTCTTCTCGTTAATCTGCGACGGTCTTGCGAGTTGTTTAGAACGCAGCTCTTAGGCCTCTTTCACACAGCTGTCCTTTGCCCCGCCCGGCGAGAGCGCAGAGCGGCGTTCCTGCCGGGGGTGGGATTTAGCGGACCGGCTTGAAACCCAAATTGCGCAGGAGGACCCGAAGTGCGCCGAAAGACAGTGTCCTAGGTCTACGTCATTTACGGGAGACGGTGGGCTTCGCAGTCTCGCCCCAAAGGGGGAAGACCAATCCCAAAACAGGAAACTTCCGCTGAATCCGGAGGATTCTCAAAAGTAGGGTGACCATGGGCACGGCCGTACCGTGCTTTAACGAAGCCAACAAAGCTCTTCTCGGGAAAGAGCGGGACGACGCGCGTGTTGTGTGACGTTTGAGGCTCTTGAACAACGGCCCTACAGAAATTTGGATTTGCCGCTGAGCTGCTGCTCTAAATGGGGAGACCACGTCGCTTCGTGTGCGATAGAGGTAAATGCGGTTTTAAAGAACAGCCAACGAATGGAAATACGGTGGTTGATCATCGGGGAGAAAATGTGGCGTAAGGAGTGATTGATGTGAAACGTTCCGGCAACGGCTCTTTCCGTCCTTGTTCCGAAACGTAGACAGAAATAAAATGTTTTCAAACACGCAAGATCGTTATCTTGCGTGTTCGAAAACGCAAGCTCCAAGGAACAAAACCGTTTTGGCGATGCCCATCTGCGCCGATCGTCCGCGACATTTGGTGATTGACGCCGCCACAATGTACTTGCAGAGATGAGGTTACAAGATTGGTGGTAGACATCAAGTGGGGTCTAAAATTGCTCACGAAATTATTCGGTTATACCTGTTATACAATAATAGGGATACAAAAGTTGGTCGCAGAATTTAAAGCCAAAGGTTTCTAGGCTTGCTGGCACAAGCTATCGCCCATTACGGAGGGCACAGCCGCCACCGTCAATCCACACTCTAAAAGAAGTCCGTGCGTCTAATTTCCCGCACAGCACTCAGAGGGCCAATCACCGAAAATTACGGAGGCAGGTCAGCAATTGGCGATGCCCAAACATATGTTCAGACCAAACAACACGGTCTGAGTTGTGGCATTAAGCAATACAAGCGTGACATTTTGCAGTGCTTAAATCACAACTCAGACTGCATTTTTTGGTCTAAACATATGTTTGGGCATCGTCATTCGCTGAGCTGCCTCCGTAATTTGCGGTGATTGGCTCTTCGAGTGTTGTGCGGAAAAGTAAGCACAGGCTTTTTTTAGAGTTCATCCATGTAGCCACCGCCAACATCTCCCGCATTATTTTTTTGAAATCTAAATTTCGGTTCACCATCCCTTTAACGTGCACAGACAAAATTGACAGACGACCGCACGCCGGTACGATGTTCATCCAGATCGAAACGAGCAGGGGTGGGGATTGAACCCAGCCTCCCTGGGTTCTACCGCCCGAGCTTTCGCTCCATGAGCTCCAAGCTGGAGTGCACTAGTCCACTCGCGCACCGATCTCCCGCCCGTGGCGTTTAAAAACAGTGCCAATTGTCATAGGGGAAACTCTTGAATGGTCAGTTATTTTCAGCCTTCGCACTTTTTTGTCGTTTTTCTTTCTGACGCGTTACGCCTTCGGCGTTTTGATTTTGCGGCGTTTTGATTTTTCTTAATTCCGATGTTTCGTGTCTTTTTTTATGTTCGGCCTTTTCACAGGTCCGCGTTTTAATTTCTGTTCGCCTTGCACATATTTCTTTCTTTTATGATCTTGCTCACTAAAGAGTTTTTGTCATGCTCGTCGTTATTCAAGATGATTGCTTTAGCATAAAGAGGCATATACTTGCCTTGTGCCCAAGGTTTCATGTTCTGGGGAAGAAATTTCGTCATCATTGTTGACATCAACAATTCCAGCCACTTTTTAAGACTTGTGACCGATGGCAGCCAGATTCGTGGTAAAAGTTCTTACCGCATGTATGCCGTGCGTCAGTCTCTGTGCTCATAGTCGTTTATCGGATTGATGGAATAACCTAGTGATTTTTTGATTAATGCTTTAAAGTGGAATATTTTGTTCAGCCGGTTTGAATAAAAGTTTGGCGAAACGAAAACAAAATTCAACGCTTTCACCCCGCAGATCTGGACGAATATAACTGTAAGAAGGGTAAATTTTAGGTAAAATTTTAACCGAAAGTAAACTGTAAGGACAATATGTACCTCCTGACCATTGTAGAACGTGTCCCGACCTCTTCAACGCTGTTCGAGTGCTTGTTTAGCGCAACAGGGACTATTGTGAACAATCAAGGGAGGAGGTTTTTGGCGGAAAATATCAACGGACCTCTTCGAATCATGGAGCTGATGTAATAATCTCTGAGTGTGAGCATCTTCGAGCTATTCTCAACTATCGAGGTTAATTCGGAGTCAAAATTGTGTATTGCGCCATTTGTCACATTTTCAACGAAGGGAAAACTTTTTTATATATTATGCGTGAAAATAAAGAAGGCCGATTAATCGAATAGGTCAGCGGTTTTCAAAGGGGGGTCCGCGAAGGCATTCTAGGGGTCCTCAAAGCCTTGCCTTGTGAGTCAAGTTTGGCAATAAAAGTGTTATTTTACCCGATTCAGACATGACGTTCCAATTATCGGGTGAGTTTTCTCCCTTTTATGTGAATCGGAAAAGCCTACTTCACACCAGCCCTTAGTTATATCCACTTATTAGATAATTATCATAATTACCCTCTACCTTTCCCTTCCCCTCACCACGAACGTGGTCCTCCACCATCTCCGCCGATCCACAAGGGGTCCGCGAAACATCACTGGCTGAGAACCACTGGAATAGGTCATTGACTAAATGGTGGTAATTATTTGGGTTGAAATGTTTACTCGACACCCAGCCTCACTCATGACCACTGTAAAGGCCTCTGGAGATTGACTCGCACTCAACTCCTTTTGCTGTGCCATTGCCAGTGATTCTATCTTCAACCTAGTCGCCGCTGCGTTGGTCTTGGTCGTGAGGTTTTCCAATGTCTTTGGCAAGCACGTCAAGGTGCTGCATTTTCAGAATTTTCGACACTGCACTGGCAGCATAGCGCTGTATGTGTAAGCCAGTGTGATGCGCGAGTCGACAATGCACAGGGCTCCAATCTTGCGGCTCGACCGAAGTATCAAGGAGTGGTCCTAGCACTAAGTGAAGATTAGAACCGAAGCTGTAGGGTGTCACTTTAACACGAACGAGAGTTTTTAAAGCGCAGCTTTTAGGCGCCCGTTTCCGGCTTGAGCGACGTAAGCGCGCGTAACCCTCGTAACCTTCGTGAAGGTTACGAGGGTTACGAGGGTTACCCTCATGAGGATCACGAGAGTTACCCTCATAACCCTTGTGAGAGTAACATTGGTAACCCTCGTAACCCTCACGATTGTTGCGAGGGTTAGTTACCCTCAAAAGGGTTACCCTCACGAGGGTTACAAGGGTTATAGAGTTACCTTCACGGGGGTGACAAGAGTTACCCTCGCGGGGGTCGCGAGAGTTACCCTCACAGGGGTTACTAGGTTTACACGTTTCACATGTTTACTAGAAGATGGCGCTGCCGGTAAAACGCCATCATCATCATCGTTTACACAGTTGCGCCACTTTTTCAGGAGTGGGGCTCATGAGTCCAAGGGGTGTGATCGTCTAGAACCGTGGGTTTTAAATCTATAAACTGCAAGCAACCCCCTTCCCCCCCACCCGCCCCCCCCCCCCCCCGAGTTTTTCACATGCGTAAACCTCAAACAATGGGAGCAGGCCGCAAAAAACACATATCAATTCAACTGCATCATTATCAGTGAGCTCCTTAGGTAGAAGGATAATGACCAAATAATCGTCGATCTATCGAAAAATTAAAAAAAAAAACGCCTTCATTTCCGAGTTTTTCAAGTACAGCTTGGTAAAATGCCCTAAAACGATATTACACAGTAGAGGAACTACTCTCGAACCAATACAAATGCTCTGTCTTTGTACGTACACATCATCTGACTGGTCCAACGCATGATTGACTGGTGCTACGCTCAAGCAGGATACTGCTTTTGTAGGCCAGCATTATTTGTATGTATTTGTAAAGTGAATGTAAAACACCTTATTATTCTTATTATTATTATTAGTAGTAGTAGTAGTAGTAGTATCATCAAAATACATAAGTGTATGCTCGAGATAGGAACACAGAAGTTCAATGAAGCGTTCCACACTCATACCACCAGGCCGTTTCTGCATTGCTCTTCATACAATTGGTTACTTCACAAAAGAGAGCCTGATGTGGAACAGAGTAAAGAAGGTCTTCGACATCATTTGCGAAGGTATATCACACTGCCCTCTAGTCCTATTCTTCAGAAAATATATTACCTGCTCCGAGCTAGAGACCAAAACCGCACCATGCAATTTCAGTGACGACAGGTGGTTTCTGAAAAAGGTAGAAATCTGGAACTGCCGTAAATCTTTTTCCCTCACTATCACCTTAAAAAGGAATGTCTGTTTTATGCGTATTTGACGCGAATAAAATTTCCAGGGACAGTTTCTTATTTGTGTTAACCTTCTTTACCAGAACAGGAAGGTCT